GTAGTGACCACACAATGGACGCATTGGTGGACCACTTGACGGCACAGAACCGCTCTCTTGAGCACCAATTGGCGGCTCAGACGCAACTGATCCACGTGTTGGACGCCATCAGACACTACTCGGCGCTGATGATGGATGGCTGCAAATGCGACCAAAACCAGCACATTGTCACCAAATTGTCTGAACTCTTGGCTCAGCACAAGAGTGTCACCGGAGCTGATGCCACGCCTCAAACACAGACACCTCTTGTGGCGCCCAATGATCACCACTTGTGGCCACAACTGACTCCCACCGCAACCACTGCCGGATGTGGTGATAGTGTGGCCGACAATCACATGTTTAGATGCGATGAATGTCACCAACAATTTGACAGTCAGGAAGTGCTGACCATTCATGTGAAGGAGAGTCACCATTACTTCGACGCCAACACGAGTCTCGCCATTGAGTTGAAAGTGATCGACCAAAACAGCGACTCTTTCTTAGGTTTGGGATCCGTTCACAGCATGTCTTGAGATGAGTTCACTATTAACGCAAACGATTGGTTCATATTTTACAGACAAACTCAAGGGTCAAGACATGGACGAGTCGTCGATGACAGCGAGCGCACCAATGGATCAAATGAATGGTAACTGAATGAGTGATTACTATAACTGAACTAATTGTCTGAATGTGTGACCAGTAGTGCCCACCAGACGTGTTCGAGGCCGTAGAGTGGGCTCCAAGAAGTCACACAAGGGATCCAAATGGATTGGTTGCGAGAAGTATCAGTGCAATGAGTGCTTCAATTGGTTGCCATCGGAGACAGCTCTGGAGACCCACCGAAACAAATACCACAACAACTCGAAGCCATTCGCGTGCGTCCTCTGCGGTGAGGCCTTCTTCGCGAACCTCTCACTCCTGAACCATTTGTCGCAAACCCATCACATGTCAGCCTTCGCGTGCCATCAATGCGATTACAAGACACGAACCAAACACCACTTAATCCAACACATGATCACCCACTCGATGGACAGGCCGTTCAAGTGCTACCACAAGGGCTGCGACAAATCGTTTAAACGCAAGTTTGAGTTAATCCGACATAACTTTCTTCATAAGAAGCGCTTTCTCTGTAAGGAATGCAACGAACGCTTCAAAGACAACACCTCTCTTCTCATCCATTTGTCGCAAAAGCATAAGATATCGCTGTTTGAGTGCGATGTCTGTCCCTATAAGACACGCGTCAAACACCATCTCATCCAACATATGGTCACCCATTCCGCGGACCGACCGTTCGAGTGTCATATCCATGGATGTAATGTCAGATTCAAACGCAAAGACATGTTAATCAGACACGAGAAGCTTCACCAGTGAATGTCCCCCTCTATTGTACTATTGATCTCTAATTGTATGTTATGTTCTCCACATTCTGTATAAATTGTATATTACTTAATAAAACATTCAAATATTAATCATGTATATGCCTGTAATTATTGATCAGGTTCAGTTTGATGTTGGGTATGGGTTGATAAGACCTATGAGTTCAAGAGTAACTTATAATAACATTATATTATACTGTTTTAACACTTGTGTCAACATTGGTGTGGGCGTGGATAACTAGGGCACTGTTTGTGCATTACCATTTATGTATATAACAAAGTCATTTAACAAAGTTTAGGTTTAAATTTTTCGCAGTTCCATGTTTTATTTTACATACCGTACTGTATTTTAACCAAGTCTATTTTAGCAACAAATTTGATTATTCAAATCTAACTCCATTTACAAAAATGAAACCAATTTTAGCTTAAATTATCTTATAGTTGAATATAAATTGTGAATTGCCAGTTATAATGTTAACATTTTAGTTAATCCCATTTTGTTATTACGATTAATACATACCAGAAAATAAAACTTTTAACACAATCAACACATTATTACAAAAAACATTCAAATTGAATACAGAATTATAAGTTTGAAAACAATTGTTGGTTACAAACAATAGTTCAGACAATTAGGTGGACACAGAAAACATGACAGACCCGACAGACCTACCTATGGGAATACCCTCACGAGAGTATAAAGACTACATAAAACAGCGCCAGACTACTGGGCAACCCATGTCTCCATTCGCATCGTACTTCCCCAACCAACCCAAGGGTCCCCCTCAGAAACCCCCGGTTGAGCCGCACACTAAGGGACAGTCAGATATCGGTTATAGTTTAGAGCACCCGAGCGAAGAGGATTTGCAGCGTATACCCGGCACCGGTAGTCGGGCTGTCTATGGCACCGATACAGGAGCGGGTGAGGCTCAAGAGCCAGTCCAGGGGCCGGCCCAGTATCAGTTTTGGTTCAGCGACTGGGACTTAGTTAGCGTTCAGAATCCGATGCCTCCCATCCCTCACGGAATACCCCTTCCGGACGACGAGAGAGCTCTAATGGAGGCGTTTGGCATAGAGTTCCTGTTCCCGGCGCTGGGAATGGGATCCTACGGAACGGTATGGCGAGTGCGCACCACTCACTTGTTTAAAGACGACGCCGGGCAGTACGTGGACAGGGAGGTGGCCTGGTGCTATCATTGCAAAAGTTCCACAGACCCGGCGATACCGTACCCATAGCTACCGGCAAACTGCTTCGGGAGGCACAGCTACACATGCATCTGAAGCACCGGAATCTGGTTGAGTGCAACAAAGTATATCACATCCACGACCCGCACACAGGCTATCCGCACGTCCGGTGTCTCATGTTTTTGGAGTTATGCGACTTTAAGGGGCTGTTGGATGAGCTGACCGACAAACACATAGATGAGACGCTAGCGCATCGGGTGTTTTGCATTTATTCTATGAGTTTCTAAACAATAATTAAATCCATTAAACAAAGTTGGCTGGTTCAAATTTATAGCCATAGAAAGAGTGAAGAAGAAAAGCATATCATAACGGCTCTAATGAATGGGAAAATACACGAAATACTGAACACAACGGAAATGATTGAAACAAATTACGAGAATTTCTTTGATTACTATACAGACGAACACCAATTGACTCATAAAACGATTCATTTAAGCGATTATAAGGAATATAATTGTAATACAAGTGAAGAATTTCATATAAAATGTAAAGAATTCTTTAATAAACTTTTTGTCAGAATTAAACAACGAGTCGATGGTATGGTTTAATATAACTGTTAATAATGTTAATAATTTCCAACAAGTATTACAATCTTTACCTATAGAGCAAAATCCCCCAATTAATGGACATAACGATTCAAGTGTTGATCACGACATGTTGACCCTATTAGGAAAGGGATCATTTGGTGAGGTGTGGAAAGCAAAGAATAAATATGGTGGACTAGAATATGCCATAAAATTAATTCCACTAAATTGTAATGTATACAATTTAGTTTTATTTATAATTTAGTTATTAAACTAATTTAAATTTCAGTCCAAAAGCAAGAATCGGAGTCAAAAGTAGTGCTCAAAGAATTGAATCAAATGATCGCTGAATTTGATAATTCGTTAAAAGTTAATTCAAAATATGTGGTCAAATGCATAGAATCGTGGGTTGACAGCACTCACTATTACATAAAAATGGAGTTATGTTCTGATAGTCTACAGAATATTCTTAGACTAAAACCACAAGTATTTGGTCGACAACCGGGAGAACCCATGAATTTAATCGAGTTTTACATTTCGTGTCAAATATTCAAAGAGATCTTAGAGTGCGTCCAGTATTTGCATGAATTGAGTCCACAGATCATTCATCGGGATCTCAAACCCGACAATATATTGGTGGCCCGGGATTGAGTGCAGAAGTGGACAACTTACAGAAAGTCAACTCACAATATGTGGTGCAATGTATGGGCTGGTGGTTCGACAGCACAAACTTTTACATAAGAATGGAGTTGTGTTCCGATAGTCTACAGAATATTCTTAGACTTAAACCACAAGTATTTGGTCGACAACCGGGAGAACCCATGAATTCAATCGAGTTTTACATTTCGTGTCAAATATTCAAAGAGATCTTAGAATGCGTCCAATATTTGCATGAATTGGATCCACCGATAATTCATAGGGATCTCAAACCCGACAATATTTTGGTGGCACAAGAAGTCAAGAACAGTCGGTATTTTAAATTATGTGACTGGTTTGTCGACAGTACACGACCGGGACTTTTATACAACGACTGGTCAACAAAGTGGTGCTCCTGTTTATCAGGCGCCAGAAGTTACAAGTGGTAGGTTTGACCACAGGGTAGACATATATAGTCTCTCGAAAATCGGTGAAAAACTATTTGATTTTAATGTGAATGATAATACGTAAGTTTCTTTTAGAAAATTACTAGAAATAGTAAATTAATAATATTCTTGAAAATTATTTGCTTTAAATATAGTCTGCAATCGTATTCATCAGATAATGAAGTCTTAAACAAATGTGTCATTCAATTACGGAAAGTATTGGTTTCGATGTCTTTGTTTCCCAAGTGGGAGGACAGACCCGAGTGTAAGGATGTGTTGAAGACATACCACGAGTGGGCTATTGATAGCAAATATTTGGCAAAAGATTTGAAACATTTAAATACAATTGAATCAAACGAATGTCAGTTTTTCATAAACTATTTTCGCTTGAGTGTAAGGATGTGTTGAAGACATACCACGAGTGGGCTATTGATAGCAAACATTTGGCAAAAGATTTGAAACATTTAAATACAATTGAATCAAACGAATGTCAGTTTTTCATAAACTATTTTCGCTCTAAATGTGGTCTCATTGATGATTCAGACTTGGATTAAATGTTTAAAATAACGTTTAGCTAATTAAAAATGATATAAAATTTCTCTGTAAACCTTGTGGTCATCTTAATTAGTTTTATTAGATTTAAATCTCGAGTACTTTTAGTCCAAATTAATTAATTATTAAAACATTAACAAAACATTTATGTGAGTTTTAGGGAACCATAGAGGCACTAAATATTTTTATTTCTAATTAAAAATTTGACTCAATATATTTTTGAAATAAAAACCTATGAATATTGTATGAATAATTGACTTTTGAGTTAAATTAATTAGATATGAAAATATAAAGTGCCTCTATGGTTCCCTAAACCTCATATATTAAAATATACATATTGTTAGTTAATAATTTTTATCTAACAAAATCTTTTTGACTTAAGTTGATTATATATAATTTTAAATAACAATATATATTTCAGCAATAATTGTTTATCGTATCACTTGTTATAGTTCTTGTAATGTAAAACTAATATATTAATAAAATAAACGCGTGGGTATTTTAGCAAATAATATTTTCATACAAATTCTATACACAACAACAAGTGAAATAACAGTAAATAATTGTATTTCGAAACCTATACAATAAATAGAAAGCAAAATATAATAAAATATGGAATTAATATAAGTAGTAAGATAAACCCTTTTATTATGTCTAGTGTCTAAACAATTAACGGTTAAATTATTATACATTTAAATATTTCATGTTAATACTGAAAAATATGTTGAATTATTTGTATTGCAAACATAGGGTGACTCGAAATGAATTGATTTAACCATTTATATATTATACAGTTTTTATAATTTTTTTGGATAATATGAACCGAAAGCGATCGCAAAGCATACGGAGGCAGAGATGGTTGCATTATGTAAGACACAACTCGTATTCATTAATTTTATAGTAGTTTAATAATAGCATAGAATTTGATTTTTTATTTAAATCTGTATTAAGGGGTTATAAGTTATAACTAAGATCCAGTAAAAGTCTTTTTAAATAGTGTTTTTAAAACTAAAACTATATGAAATGCTCAGTGAGTGACTATAGTAGCTTTAAATGCCCAAATAAGAGACAAATTGTATAATAGAGCGCGTGGTCTAACGGTTAGGATGCCTGACATGTAATCAGGAGGACCCGAGTTCAAGTCTCGGGCGCGACCTTTTCATACAAGTTGTCTTTTCAATCATTTCTAACACTTTCCCCCATTTATCTGATATTAAAAATAAGTTATTCAAAAAACATATCAAGTGTTTAAGTAGTGTTTGTTATAAAATATATTTAGGAGCAAAGCCTTAATATTAGCCAGCATATTCATCAAATTTATATATAATAAACTAATGCAAAAAATATGAATGTTTTAACACATGTAAATAAATAATTTTAGTTTTTAATAGTTTATTCATTTGATATTTAAAACAAACCAATGGAAATAATCAGGGTTAGAAATCTATTCTTTATATATCCATCAGCTTATACTTGTGATGAATATGCTAGCTAATATTAAGGCTTTCCTCCTAAATTATATTTTATAACAAACACTACAGTATATAAACACTATTTAAAAAGATTTTTACCAGATCTTAGTCATAACTTATAACTAAAAATCATCAGTACTTACTATGGGGTGTCACCGCTGTCCAACTTTATTTAATTAGATTCTACATGATTATATAGGTTAAGCATGTTCAATTAAAAATATATGGATCCGATAATCTATGGGAAGGTGGTATGGTCATAATCCAGTGGTCAAGTTTCCGATATTCGTATAAAGTTCTATACAACTCAATAGACATTTGATGTGAATTCATGCATAGTATGAGTAATGTAGAAAAGTGAATAATGCATATAAAAACTTTGAAAATTATGCGATTATCGGAAACTTGACCACTGGATTATGACCTTACCACCTTCCCATAGATTATCGGACCCAGATATTTTTAATTTAACATGCTTAACCTATATAATCATGTAGGTTTGAATTAAATAAGAGTTGGACAGCGAGTGATACCCCATTGTTAGTTATTCTTAAAATGTAGTTATACGAAAGAGTACACAGAACTTTGCTTTCATATGACTGTTATAATATGAATCAGTAGTACTGTACAGACATATCAAAGCAGTGTTTTAGGGACTCTACCGTATAAAACATACCGAGATATAAGTGAGTCCACGTAATAATTACATCTTTTGTATGTAAGGCACCGGATGTCAAACGGATTGCAAGTGGAAGCACTAGATCGGGGACAACGGGACAGACATCCAGTGGTTTACAGAATATAAAACAAGATTCACAGAAAAATACTCATGAATTCGATAAAAATATCATAAAAACCGTTAAATTGTTTCACGTCTTCAACGACGAGAGAGGATATAATGTCCTATTCGTGACAAATGATGATAAGGTCTACGGTTTGGGATCTAATTATTGGGGACCACTCGGGTTGGGACACAATGAATACGTAAGCGAACCACAATTGGTCCCAGAGCTGTGTCACCAGAATATACATGAATTATTCTGTAAGGATCAGTATGGGCTCGCTTTCAATGATAGCGAATGTATATACTTCTGGTACATGATTGCCAAGAATTTATTTAATTTATTTAAATGTCGTAAACCAATGAATATGCTGTCAGTGGAGTACGTGAACCCGGAAAACGATTTGGCACTCAATCGCCACAATATCCGTCAAATCAGTTGCGGTTTGTATTACTTCTTAATCCTTACAACCGATGGCGATGTCTATGGTTGGGGTGATAATAGATACGGACAGGTTGGCAGCGATAATCAATCAGTACTTGTATACAAGCGGCAAAAGTTACATTTCATACACGACTCGGTTGACTATAAAATAGAAAAACTTTTTTGTCACAAATTCTGTTCATTTGCCATCACATGTGACGGACATGTGTTTAAATGGGGAAAAAATCAAGACTTAAATTCATGGAAAAATGTGTCAAAACCACAATTTGTTGATAATATCAGTGACATTAAGATTATATGTGCGACAGAAGTGAACACATATTTCCTATCAAACGATGGATTCATATATTTTTGCGGACAATATGTGAATGAAAGCGGAGATAAGTTAATCCAAATATCACCATGCTTAATTGATGACACAAAATGTCAAGAATTGTGTCAGAATTTAAAATGGTTTAAAGAACACGATTCAGAATATATAACCGCTTTAATGAATGGAAAGATTTATGAAATATCGGGAAAGACTATCATTGAAACAAATTACGATAATTTCTTTGATTACTATACAAACGAACACCAATTGACTCATAAAACGATTCATTTAAGCGATTATAAGGAATATAATTGCAATACAAGTGAAGACTTTCATACAAAATGTATTGAATTTTTGGGAAAAATGGTTGACAGAATTAAACAGGATCACTTAAATCAACCAACCACTGGTCTAATTCAGACGATTTTTAAAAAATGCAAAAATATTTTCAAAAAGACAGACAGAGGTATCATATACTAGTATTGATATATTTAAAGTTACTATCTACAGCATTATAAACTACTTTTTATTAATAAATTATTTATTTAGCTGTCGATGACATGACAAGTATCGTTAATCAATTCAATTTGGAAATATTGTCTAAAATAGGTGAGGGTAGTTTTGGTTGTGTGTATAAGGCTAGAGATATAACCAATGGGCAAGAATATGCAGTCAAACAAATTAAATTACGATGTAATGTATAAATTATGGAAAATTGACTTTTCAAGGAATTTACAAATAATTTTAATTATAACCTTATAGTTGATAAGCGGAATAATATTTGTCGACAATTGGATCAGTTTGTCGCAGAAATGGATTGCTTAAAGAATTTGGACTCAAAATATGTGGTTCAATATATCAACGCAACCATTAATCATGAAAATTATTATTACATAATAATGGAGTTGTGTTCACATAGTCTTATGAAAATTCTTAAACACAAACCAAAAGTATTTCACCGAAAACTTGATGAACCCATGAATTCAATCGAGTTTTACATTTCGTGTCATATATTCAAAGAGATCTTAGAGTGCGTCCAATATTTGCATGAATTGGATCCACCGGTCATTCACCGGGACCTCAAACCCGACAATATATTAGTGACACTAAATGTCAGAAATGGCAGATATTTTAAACTGGGTGACTTTGGTTTGGCGACAGTACACGACCGGAATATTCATTCAATGACTAATAATAAACATACGGGAGATGTCGGCGACACTAGTTATCAGGCGCCAGAAGTGGTTTTTTGTGAAAAATATGACCACAGGGTAGACATCTATAATCTGTCCAAAATTGGTGAAGGAATCTTTGATTTGAATATCAATGACAAACGGTAAGTCGAGTCAATACTTTATAAATACTATACATTAAATTGCTATTAAATATAAATATATACTAGTTAATAGTATTGCTCATATGTGTAATTATTATATTACATGGACAGCACTAATAACAATAATAACGAAGTTCTGCGTAAACGTGTGATTAAATTACAAGACTTACTGCAATCAATGGCATACTATAACTGGGATCACCCGAACAAACCCGGCCCTCACTGGATAGACAGACCCGAGTGCTCACAAGTGTTATCCGAATATAACTTATGGTCTATTCATAAGAGCTATATTGAAAGCGATTTGATTAACAACTTTATTTCATCGGCAAATACACAGCATTCAAATTATATCCAATTTTTCCGACAGTATTTTAACGTTAAATCTACATTGTGTTCAGTTAATACAGAATTGAATTAATTTTTAAAATATATAATTAATGGTCTATTGATAAATGAATTTAAAATGATCTAATTCACAAACATACCACGAGTGGGCTATTTGGGCTATAGCAAACATTTGGCAAAAGATTTGCAACGGAGCATTCAGCTGACCGTTGCTTTTATCAACAATTTCTCTAATTATTTCTAATTATTTCTGAATTCATAATCTTTTTAATTATTACTTTAACTGTATTTCAATTGTTTTAAATCATTTCAGTAATTGTTTTCATTCATAAGTTCGCCAATTGTTTAGAACTTTTATTATTACGTTATTATTGTATTTCTCTAATGCTTTCATCATTTTTATTATGTCGACAACTATTTTACAGATATTTAGCCATAGATTTGTTCCCTTTTGATAACCAAACACTTAATTATAAACTTATTAATTGTGTAAAACTGCAGATAAAACCGTTACACCGGAAGTGTTAGACTTCCGGTCCACTCAACCCTTTTCCGTAGTATTTAAGGCGAAAGCGTTGCTTTCAGCCCTCAGTTTAGTTTTACGTTTAGTTCAGGATTTTCTACTTTAAGTATCGATTTGCTCGTCACTCCGGTCACGAGCCGTTTAACCTGTTTTAGGACTAAATTCAAAGTAATCTTCATTTCTTAAGACCTCTTTAATCCTCTTATTATGTTTAAGTCGACTAAAAGTATTTCGATTTGTATTTAATCGATAACTGTTTCTTAATATCAATAAAAACTACTTTTAAACTCAAGACATTGTGTAATCACTTGGTGTTCAAGAGCTACCACTTATTATAACCGGATAACCGATCCCAGGATCACTGCCATCACTGTGTCTACTCTCTCGCATAAGCCAAGCGTACAACTGTTGTTGGTTCTGGTCTTGGAGTCACGCCTGGACTCTGCAAGGCTTCCCAACTGGTGGACACCCCACCCCCATCCCCACCCCCGACGGTTGCCAGACATCCCATCAGAAACCCAGATTAGGTCTCAGTTGGGCTGTAGGTCTACGAGTGGTCAGGAGTCCACTCCCGAGACATCTGTCGACTGCCGGTTAACGCACGCAAGCAAAGGCCTTTAACTATCGGCTCAGCAGAGACACTACGGCACAGCCCTCATAGCTACCGTTCCCATCGCACAGCACACCCGCCACCCGTCTCAACAGTATATGGTATTGGGCGCCGGCCGTTCACTCACGCAACCGAGTCCCGGCCCCCCGATAATCCCTGTACCAGATTTGAAACATTTAAATACAATTGAATCAAACGAATGTCAGTTTTTCATAAACTATTTTCGCTCTAAATGTGGTCTCATTGAGGATTCAGACTTGGATTAACCTTCCGGTAGGTCTGACACAGAATCGTATAAAAATTGTAATGAAATTGCTGTCCATATGTGTAGAGACGCCAACCCATGAGCTCCGAGTTCGCGGCCGCCGTCTAATGCATAGCTCACTGACAGACAAATGGCATAACTTTTGTGTAAAACTCAATNCATATAAAATGTAAAGAATTCTTTGATAAACTTATTGTCAGAATTAAGCAAAGAGTCGATGGTATGGTTTAGCATATTGTATAATATACTGCAATACATAATGTTAAATATTCATATAAATTTTAAAAACTTTATTAATAGATATAAACGGTGGAAGTTGGAAGGATATTGATTATTATTTTGATATGGTGTCACCAATAGGAATTGGATCATTTGGTGAGGTGTGGAAAGCGAGGAATAAAAATAATGGAAACGAATATGCCATCAAACTAATTGGCTTAAATTGTAATTCCTATATCTATATATAGTTACTATATTATAGTAATGTTTCAAAAATCTAATTATAAACATATTATTATTGATTTTAGTCCCAAAGGATGAGTCGGATTCAAAAGTAGTATTCAAAATAATAACTGAGATGATCGCAGAATTTGATAATTTACTGAAAGTAAAATCAGAATATGTGGTCAAATGCATGGGCTCGTGGGTTACCAGCGATCACTATTATATTCAAATGGAGTTATGTTCCAATAGTCTACAGAATATTCTTAGACTTAAACCACAAGTATTTGGTCGACAACCGGAAGAACCCATGAATTCAATCGAGTTTTACATTTCGTGTCATGTATTCAAAGAAATCTTAGAATGTGTCCAATATTTGCATCAATTCTATCGACCAATAATTCATAGGGACCTTAAACCCAACAATATTTTGGTGGCCCGGGATGTGAAGGACAGCCGCTATTTTAAATTAGGTGGCTTTGGTTTGTTGACAGTACACAATTGGGGCTTCTATACAATGACTGGTAGGGATATGGGTGCTCCTGAATATCAGGCACCGGAAGTCACAAATGATATTAGATACGACCATAGGGTAGACATCTATAGTCTCTCGAAAATCGGCGAAAAAATATTTGATTTCAATTTGAATAACGAGTCGTAAGTTTTTCAAAATTACTAATAAATAAATAAATAATGCAGTATTTATGAAATATATTTTGTTTTATATATAGTCCACAATCGTATTCATCAGATAATGAAGAGTTAAACAAATGTGTCATTAAATTACGGGAAGTATTGGTTTCGATGGCTTTGTATCCCAATTGGGAGGACAGACCCGAGTGTAAGGATGTGTTGAAGACATACCACGAATGGGTTATTGATAGCAAACATTTGGCAAAAGATTTGAAACATTTAAATACAATTGAATCAAACGAATGTCAATTTTTCATAAACTATTTTCGCTCTAAAGGTTGTCTCATTGAGGATTCAGACCTAGATTAAATGTTTAAAATAACGTTTAGCTAATTAAACATAATATTTATTCTGTAGACTTTGTGGTGAACTTAATTAGTTTTATTATATTTAAATCTCGAGTACTATGAGTCTAATTTAATTAATTACCTAAACGTTGGGTATACATTACAATTTTTATATTCTTAGTTAATCATTTTTATTGAACAAAATTTCTTGTCTTAAGTAGATTATATATAATTATTAAATTAAAATTTATATTTCAGCAATGAATGTTGATTGTATCACTTATTATAGTTATTGTAATGTCAAACTATTATATCAATAAAATAAACGTGTGGGTATTTTAGCAAATAATATTTTCTAAATATGCAATTTCACATCAATTACCTAGTGATAATCTGGCTAAATCATTGTATTTTGAAATCTATACTATATGTAGAAAACAAAATAATCAAATATACGTAATAAGATAAACCCTTTTATTATGTCTAGTCTAGACATTAACGGTTAAAGTATTATATTAATACTATACATCAAAATATTAGGTGTGGTTAATGAAAACTATGTGAATATTTTCATTGGAAACATAGCTTGCATTTCATTTCACTGGCAATGAATTCATTTAATTATTTATATATTAAAGAGTTGTTATAAAAATTAATTTTTTTGTGATAAATATGAACCGAAGTATGAAAAATACACATAAATTCGATAAAAATATCATATTTAATAATATTTGTCGACAATTGGTTCAGTTTGTAGCAGAAATGGATTGCTTAAAGAATTTGGACTCAAAATATGTGGTCCAATATATCAACGGAACCATTGGTCATGAAAAATATTATTACATAATAATGGAGTTGTGTTCCAATAGTCTTACGAAAATTCTTGAACACAAACCACAAGTATTTCACCGAAAACCTAAAGAACCCATGAATTCAATCGAGTTTTACATTTCTTGTCATATATTCAAAGAGCTCTTAGAGTGCGTCCAGTATTTGCATGAATTGGATCCACCGATCATTCACCGGGACCTCAAACCCGACAATATATTAGTGACACTAAATGTCACAAATGGCAGGTATTTTAAACTGGGTGACTTTGGTTTGGCGACAGTACACGACCGGAATATCCATTCAATGACTGATAGGGATATGGGTGCTCCTGAATATCAGGCACCGGAAGTCACAGATAGACCGGAAGGCACCGGAGGTATTAGATATGACCACAGGATAGACATCTATAGACTGCTTAAAATCGGCGAAAAACTATTTGATTTTAATGTGAATGACAAGTCGTAAGAATTTTCAAAATTATAAATAATTATATTCATATAAATATTAATAATAAATATTTATCTTAAATATAGTCCGCAATCGTATTCATCAGGTAATGAAGTATTAAACAAATGTGTCATTAAATTACAAGACTTACTACAATCCATGTCATACTATAACTGGGATTACCCGGACATACCCGGCCCTCACTGGACAGACAGACCCGAGTGTTCACAAGTGTTATCCGAATATAACTTATGGTCTATTCATAAGAGTTATATTGAAAGCGATTTGATTGACAACTTTATTTCATCGGCAAATACACAGCAATCAACTGATGGCCTGTTTTTTCAAGAATATTTTAAAACTAAACTTGGTTCAACTGATACACAATTGAATTCATATTAATATATATA